CATCTTTGACTTTGGGGTGTGTGTGACACTGTGTCGTTGTTAGCACCACAGAATGCGACGTACGGAATACCATCTTACCTTGTATGCATGCCGGAACCACGTCGTTCCTTTCTTCTTGTTGCTGACGAGCGCTATCCATTCACCGCAGCTTCCACAAAGCCCTTCCCATACGTCAAGATTGCCTTCCGTCCGGCGTGTGTCTTGGGGGCCCTGGAATGCCGCACCGGTGGCTGCGCTAACACCATGTGTGAAAGACTTGTCGTACCAAAAAGCGCTATTCTTGAGGACAAGCCATCTGCCGGGCTTGCATAGACCGCACCAGCCTTCTCGTTTGTTGCCATGGCCACGTACCCATCGTGGAGTGTACAAATCGCCAACAAAGCGAAGATCCTGCTCATGTGGGATGAGGTCTGGGTCCGAAGGGTTCATATCGGATTCTGGTGGGTTCAACGCTTCCTCATGCAGAGACGAGTACAGATCCGGCGGGTCTGAGAGATCTGCAAAGTGAGATGAACAGCCTCCGTGACGATCGGCATTACTTTGGAGCAGACGGAAGAGGCCCTGAGAAGGTAAAGGCCTGGGCACTTCGAGATGAAATTGCTGTTGATCTTGAGGCGTGAAGAACGGCTGACTGTTGGGATGCGATGGAGGAGTTTGTGAGTACAGCACATTTTGAGTCGGCAATCCAAAATTGTTGTAGGCACTGGGAGGGTAGGCGGGCATGGAGTGATGCGGGTTCATCCGGGGGCCGTACGGGGCGTAGCGATCCGAGACTTGTGACATGGGGCGCGAGTTGTTCGGAGTCGATGTTGGCGCTTGTCCAGTGGACCACCTCTTGAATCTGTTACTGTCAAGTGTGTATGGCGATGAGCGGATGTTGCCATGCGATGCTGGTGATGTGCGGGATCGACTCCCGCTGCGAACAACCCCGTCATACTGCGGGCGCCGTGGTGACGCAAGAGGTGATAGAAGATGACTGGCACTTTGCTCCGCTTGGTTCCATGTATCATACTCAGACGCATATGAAACTGGTTCGGACGACCCCATCTCTTCGTAAGCTGCCGATTCTGGCAGCACACCGCCTGTACTCGACATCGAGAAGGAAGACTCAGACATTCGTCGAATAGAATTTGGGTTGAACTGTGCCATATTTTCGTGTTCGTGTTGGCCCATGTTGTTGTACTGGCGTAGGTCGATTATCGGAGTGTTCTCGTCGTGTCCCATCATACCATGGCTGAAGTCGGCCACGTCCGAATCCAGAGCAGGGAAAGACTCTAGCTCTTCACATACTTTCTGACCCCATGGACCTATACTCATTAGCACTGCATCCATGCTTGCTTCGGAAGACGCTTACTTGTGTCGATGACGTTGGGAAAGTAGTTCGTTGTTGCCAGTGATTGCGGGGCATTCATAGAGCTGCTGTAGATACCACCAGTCGTAGCAGTCGGCTGCGACGTCATCATGTCTGGTCTTCCCATAAATTGCTGCTGGTCTTCTCTCCCGCCTACGGTAGGTCCGCGCGGCGCAGCATAGTACGAAGCATGGGTCTGCGGCACAGCCCACGTGGGCTGTGGTGGCGACGGTCTGGACATAGGTTGCATGCCTTGTTGTTGATGTTGATGTTGATGATGTTGCTGACTATGTTGAAGGTCTCCGTATGCATACATCGTTTGCATTCCCGGAGCAGATGAGGAATGTCCCATAGCGTACTGTCGATTAGGTGACGGGCGGTATCTATGAAGACGATTAGTCTGCGTAGGCTCTACACCATCGTGAATGCTTACTGTTGAACCGCATTGAATTCCATCTTGAGTTTCGTCCTTATATACAACGACCTTAACGATGGTCTGGAAGTAGTCTGCGTTGCAATGTGGTAAGTGACTGTTTAGGCGTTCCATATTGTTCCGAGTTGCTGAACATGATAGTGCTGGACTAGCGACGGCCAAGCCAGGATATGCTGCAGCGCAAAGGAGCAATGACAGATCGGAAAAACTTACATTGGTAACGAAAGTAGAAGGCTGCAGTCAAATGAATGTATCGAGCGATAGCGCGTGCGACTATGGCTGAGCAAATGTGGCGCCGAATGGTATGTAAGCTTCTCAAAAGAGTGTACGAGAACAAAGTTCTCAACGCAGCCAGCGCGGATGGAGCCCGCTCCAAATGAAAGAAATGTATATGAAGATAGTTGGGCAGGATCCTAAAGAGTGACGGGCCAAATAGCAGGAAAGGCGGTTGGAGGGGTTGCTAGGCTATATGATGTATACACGGGGGTTGCAACATCCGAGAAGGAATAACGAAGAGCAATGGTCTCTGTGATTGACGCAACGGAACCGCTTGGGCGCAAGTTTGAGAGAAGTGTCGCGACGCGCCTTGGCTGCAGGTGATCTGGAACGGCCACAGCAGAAGCGTTCACCCAAAAGAGAGTCTGGCGGGGATGGTGTAGCGGGTGGTGGACCGGGCGCAAGGCTGCTGGGATGCCAAAAGGCGATTAGACGCACTGTGGACGGTCGCACCAGTCGTTGTCTCCATGATCCTCTCGGCTGGCTCGGAGAGGCTCCTCAGGGCTGCGCACCAAGTGCCCCATGTTATTGAGGCCGAGCTGTTAACATGGATACTGCGCTGCCACGGCCATCGTGACCACATGCTGACAGGGAGCTGTTGGTCGATGAGTTCAGAGAAAAGGGCATCCCAACACTGGTTCCAACTCGGACTCGAGTTTCAGCGCTCGAACGGGATGGTGCATGTCGTTTATGGAAGGATGGAGTGATGGGAGAGGTTGGCCATGAGATACGCAACTTCCCGCTGTATCAACTCCACTACCAGGGTTTAACCATTCAGTTTCATCATAGCTGGAAAAGTTTTGTCTCAATCGAGAGCGAGTCTGATGGCACGGAGCAGCTGATTGGGAGGGTGGGGGGTGTATCATCGCGTGTGGCGCGTAGTTTGGTGAGGGCGGGGATGAGTCAGCATTCGCTTCCAACTGGCCCACGTCTCTTTACCGCGTCGCGACATGTCCGAAACACTCTTGACACACGTCCAGGGGAACCTGAGACCCACTCTGCTCGCAACATGTACCGCACCATCAACACATTTCTCGGTTTTTTCTGGATTGATTCGCCGACACGGACGCTCGGTTGTGTCGCGCAGCGGAGTTGTAGCCGCATTTCCACTTGACGTCGACGCTTTCAGCAATTTACTGCCCAGATGCACCGTGTTATCGCCGAATAGTGGCATCGTCAACTGCCCATGACCGAAGCGATGCCACTTCATTCCGTTCTGCTCGGCATGGTGTTATCTTTGCGGAACAGAAACACGTGCAACTCGTCAGCCGAGTGCAGTTCCATAGCACGGTGCAAGCGATGACAAGCTTCTGCACTGTCCATTGAGTCAGGATGACAACTGACAGCGGCCGATCGACAAATCACCTGCTAGTTCAGATGTTAGGACTCTTCATTTTCAGAATTCAATATTCCCATGACTTGGCGACGTTCAAAAAGAGTATCTGCCTTAACATCACGAGGCCGCGGAGCGGTTCGTAGCAATCTTGCCCTGACCCATGGACTCGCTACTTTGAATGCCTCAGTCCTGTACCACCACCAATTCCCCACATATTTGTCAACAACATATGTTTGCCACCGGAACCCGATTACCCAGGCTACCTGCAATCTTCTCATCGTTCGAAGCATGAACTCCGCAGTGCTGCCTCGGGTTCCGTGTGGCGTCTACCGAAGCGGACGATGCGCTACAAGGAAGGACCTGCAAGCACGTAAGTGATGTGGCCTGGAGGGGCATCGCGCATGATATGAACGAACTCGATTCGGAAGAACTCATCATAATAATTGATAGCTATTCCGCCAATCGAAGTAGCTGCTCGACCCCCTTGTTTACCTTTAACGCGTGCATATTTGGTGGGTACTGAACCATTCCACAGCTACTCGGTGTGACTACCATCTTTGAAGATCCGATGACCTCCAGCTGCCAGTCTGTTCTATTCGTCACATCCAATCGCAAACACCATGAAACTTGGGTGGACATACAGAATCAAGACACGATATCGCCATCACCAAACAACCTTGCAACATTGATCGTTTGCGGAACCTACACCTACCACAGCAAGGGTTACGGACGCGATATTGTGACCACATATGATCGAAGACGACGCAAACCGTGCACTGCAGATTTTGCAAGTAATAGGTTCCAAGTCTGCGAAACGATCTCACGACAGCCCCTCGTACGTCATGGTAGATACTGTTCTCGCCATGGCTCTAGATCTCGACATGTGGACCTACTATGGAGGCGCATTTCACTGGACGTGAGAACACCTGAGCAGCAAGAAGAGGAAACTACCCCTCGTCAGCTCGACCCTCAGGCATACTATACTTGGCAACCGCGAACGACAGCACAGCGTCAAGCCAGCGAACAAACTTCAGCCTCATGACGTGTCATTCATTAACTCAAGACATCCAACAACTGCCCCGAACCCAGCCGCTCATCTTCAGCCCTAACAGCCCTAACACCCAAAATCCTGGGATCGACATTTTACGACGAGGGTAATCCATGTTACCAAGACACTGGTTTTGACAGGCCATCGCTGGCGGGAGCGGGACGCGCGGACAATAGCCACGGCACTAGTTATAGTAAGAGATTTGGAAACTCAATTCTACTATAAACCTACTTCACTACTAGACGCGATCGGAAACTAGGAGAAGACTGTGCGGCGGGATTTGCGACGCGACTTGGGCATATAGAATGCGTCGGGCGAAAATGTGGGAGCGTGATTATTGTTAGCAGCCGAGGTAATCGAAGGGGTGAAAAAGGGCGGGTACAATGTGCTGTCTCAAATTCGTGGTAGGTATCCAGGGTGATCGAGTAGTTGAATCGTGATATGCATTACATCTACGACAGCCTCATCTGGGCGCAGTCTTCCATCGACTCCTGAGCAACAACACCCAAACCAAGATAAATATCTGTCCATCAATTTTCAACATCCTCCGACCCACCTAGAGTTTGCCAATCTTGATCTCACACTCCCCACTCACAGTATCGAAACTCAAGCTACTATCTCCTTCTCCTTTCTTCGCTTCAACATGGTTCTTCCCTGGCTCATCATTCTCTCCTAAAAGTTCCAAATCCTTGCCTTGCAAATGCAGCGCGCCACTCAAACTCGTGCCATCAACAACCCCCGACCATTCTGGCGGATACGTCACATCCAAGCCCCCAGACGTACTCTTATGCGTGCTGACTAGACCAGACATGGCTACGTTCTTCGCCTTGTACGGCGAGCGCAATGTCAGAGTTGTCTGTCCCGAGTGTGTAGAAGTGTAAATCTCAGACTGATAATCTCCGGATTTGAAAGGCAGGATATCAGCTGTGACTAGACCGGCTACAGAGTTGAATTCCGTGCGGGAACCGTGGATAAAAGTGCCATCGACGGAGCCGACGGTGGTGTTGATGTAGGTTTGGTAGTCGCGGTCGGGGATGTGTTTGCGCTTGAAGTCTGTTCGAATGCTTCCAGATAGCGAGTCTACCATGAAGATGGCTGGGTTCGTGGAGCCTGAAGCCGCAGCTTGGGGCTCAATGTCGATGTTCACGGATCCACTTTTCGTCTTAACGGAGAGGAGGTCAGACAGTGCGTATTTCCCGCTTATGGATCCGGAGATGGTTTGTAAGTATGTTTGGCGAGAGGAAAAGTCTACAGCGTCGAGGGTACCGGTAGTGGTGGAGATGGATGTTGTGTCTTTGACAGTGAAGTTTGCGCCGGGGTGGATCTGCATACCCATGTGTGTGGTTGCGACTTTGAAGTTTGATAGTGAGGCGCCTGGGGCCATGTAGATTACTACCGACATGCCGAGACAGGCGGTGCCGGGGCGTACGCCGTCGAAGCCGTCAGGGAAGGTGGGATCACCGATGGTTATGCCGGTTGAGCTGGATGCGTATGCGACGCTGTTGACGTCGACTGATGATGATACAGCGTAGGACATTTTTACCTGTATGGTACCAGCTGCCTGCTCTGGGGGTGCTTGCGCGACGTGTATCCAGCCGGCTACCCGTTTGTATGAACCGTCTAGCTGATGCACTGCTTCTTGGATATTGAGCTCGCTCGCCTTACTGAAGTCGTGGTGCTCGGTTCGAACATTATATTGCTTTCCACATTTTGCTGGCCATCGGATGGGGAAAGATTGCTTGGGTGCTGCTTGCGCCGCGGCAGACGGCGATGGCCATGGGACGGCGATGAGGCTTGGCTTGTCGGAGTCGTCATCGATGAATCCTTCTGGGTGAGCGGCATCGCCTTGTGCGGACTGTGCCGACGATGGGGCGGTAGTCACAGTAGCCTTGGTACGGGTATCAGTACAAATCTCTTTTCTCCGCAGCATTCAACTAACTTGTTTGTCCCTCCGAACAGATACTGCTGCGACCATGAGGGCCAGCATCGCCGACACAAGCATCATCGCAAGTATCGTTCCAGCCACCTTCAGCCATGTCTTCTTGAGGCATTGCTGCCTTAGGCTTCTTCCTCTGTACTGCTCTTCTTTGAACCTCGCATCTCTTGCTTCTCGCCCATCAAAGGAGAGCAGCCTTGCGCCTTCTTCGCCACTCAATCGACTTGAGATGAGGCCAGGCGTTGTAGCTTCAAGATAGCTAGGTGGAGGCCTCTCGTTGTCGGTCTCCTGGTTGATAAAAGCCTCTAGAAGCGGCGTCGAGCGATCGTTGTACGGTGTCGGCTCAATGATAATCTGAGGCCTCAAAGACCGACTGTTCGCTGTCGCTGTATCGATGTACATGTTGGGCATTTTAGCTTCGTAATAGGGTATAATAAAAGAGTGAGTAAATAAAGATTGTAATGGGCGCACGCGCAAAGAATGGACCAAGCCAGGGTATCAAGAATGTACAATGAGAGCAAGAGGATGTGGAGGTCAAGAAAGAGGCCAGGCAGACATGTCCTAAGTAATCATCCCAAGCTCAGGCATCGAAGCTTGATCTGCGACTCCAAGGGCTGGGCCGACGAGTGCGATGCTACACATTTGTTTCGGTGGTGGAAACGCTGCATGTTTGATGTCGGCTTGGCGGTGGTTAGTGGAGGCGAACGGCTATCAATTCCGTTGTTTGCGCTTTTGTTCCGCAGAGAAGTTTCGATCCGATTTATGACTGTTGATCACTCATTGATGGTATCTAAACATATACTCGATCGAAACAGCAAAAGAATGCGTTGCGGATAGTGGTCACTTGGAGCGTGAGGAGGAAAAGTCGTGGCTGGTGCCGTTGGATGCGACGTCGGACGATGCGGGCGCTAGGCTAGGGGCTTGCACTGTCGATCAGGCACCCCAGGGCTGGAACCTCGCAGTGCCTCGGTACGCATATATGGTAATACGTAGAAGTGAGAATATGCGAGCGGAGTCAACCCGTTTAAACCCATAGGTAAGAGCATATTTCTGCTGAGATGAATCTAGATGGCTCTGAGTATGAGGCATACGATTCCAAGGACGAGTCCTGACCTCCAGCTTGTCAGCTGCCATGTGGAACCGTGTGTTTTCTTGTATATGGTTAAAATGTGTCAGAATTCATACGCTGAACAAGCTTTCTAGCAGAATTGCGACGCTGAAGTTGCTGCTTTGTGGTCGTTGTGTGGCAGTAGTGAAGGGAAAAGAGAGCAGGTGACATGGGAGCGGACCCCCGAGAGTGGGTGGGGCTTGGCGGTTGACGTAGCGAATTGTCGCATAGCGGGCGGGTCCTTTCCAAGTCAAAGTCAACGTCAACATGGCAGCGCTGCAGAAGTTATCGCAACTGTCGCAGCCACACTGTGTGCTTCTCGCCGTACAATATGCCACCGAATCCAATATCCTAGCGTTACGGGCGCTGACAGCACTCCGAGACGGCGATCTGCCGCTCGAGCTTACCCTGAGCATCATCCTCAACTACCTCCCGGAAGAGAGCGACCCCTCGTCGTATCATGACTTTCTGCATGACCTGGCGACTGGATCGCGGTATCCTGGGGAAACTCCCGCTGCATCCCTCGACATATCCGCGGTCGAACAACTCTCCAATTCGCGGGCGAAGAAGAGAAGGCACGCGCTGCATCTCCCGCCTGTAGTGCATCCCCTCTACGCAGACGAGGGCGAGCTCGACTTGTTCAGCCACTTTCTCATACACCGCGCCCACCGCATCGACGCGCAGACGGGCCTGCTGGATCTCGTCCCCCAGCTCGTGGTTCCCTTTCTGGGCCATTCCGAATACCTACGCACATGGTTCATATCCACCGTCCTCCCGCTTCTGCGCCTCAGTTACGAATACTACCCGCAATCGTCCGCTACCACGCTTGACGAATTCGCCTCGCTCAAAGGACGACGTGCTATCGATCACCAACTCTCACACGTTCGAAACGCAAACGATGCCCAGATACACAATGCAGCACGGGACCTGAAGGGCGTCGTTGCCCCATGGCTATGTGGAGCCAACGATCGCAAGAGGCGGCGAATTACACGCGAAGGTCGGAGAGCGTCAATTGCGCAGGACCAAGCACACGAGCCAGACGATTGGGATTGTCTGTTCCAGTGGCTGCTACATGCCTCAAAGGACCACCTGCCACTCGTTGCTTCAGCCATCGCCGACTGGGACGGCCCAGAGGATATGGACCTGGGTGGCTATGAAGAAGGACGGGACTTTGTCGACGACGACCAACAGCGACGATTGGAGATGAAATATGCACGAACAGCTCTGGCGTGCCTCTACCTGGTCGACAAGAGCGATGTTGCATCACTGCAAACGGCGCATTCGCTCTTGTCGAGGATATGTACCCTTCTCAACTACGAGCCGCCTCCAGACCTTAGTATCGGCGTGGGGCAATTGCCCTCGTACGACCTAAAGGATCCTCTGCTGCAAGACTCGACGACTGTTCTACTTAGGGAGGATCGTTTGTTGGACAGAGATAACGTCATTACACAACCTGGCGCTGAAGCATTCCGCGTCCTTGAGCTAATTATTTTCTCCTCTTGTGTTCTGTCAACTTTGCAGCAACCAGTATCCATTCGAGAGGTTGCTAAAATGTCACTACGCGACGACTACTCGGAGCAACTATCGTTGCTACAAAAGATACTCCATACACTGAACAGCGGCTCCAAGAAAGACAGCGAACAGTGGGCCACTATTCGTTCCAAGTTGTTGTGGCTATGGAACTGGGGTACTGACAACCACGACGAAGATCGCCAAGCCCAGGGTATCTTTGGTTTGCTAGAGCGAAAGGCTTTGGAAACGGAGATACTAAAAGCGCTTCTGGAGAGCAATCATTTCTCTCTCGCGATAGATCTGTACATGAAGCCAGCATTCGGGCAGCAGCCGCTTCTTTCGTCCGATGTCGAACAGGTCGTACTCGCATCAGCCATGCACCACTACGACAATGCGAGCAACGGTAACCGCAACAGGGGTGGCATGAAGCGTGCCGCCGATATCATCAACGCATTTGTCCCTCACTTTTCCTCGTCGTCGCGGTTCCGACGGTTTCAAGCCTTGCTCACAGCGACGCATGCCATGTCATTCTATTCACTCATACTCCAGCATGGTGTACCTTTCCAGCCGGTCAACATTCGAGTGAGCCCTAATCCACTGTCGCTGGTGCGTAAGCTGCTATCACAAAATAGCGGTAGTTATACCAAGCTAGACGACTTGGTATCTATCGGGCAGAACCTAGTAGTTGCAATGCCGTCGACTATCATGGAAGAAGAAGCAGAGAGCATACCGATGGATCCCACATCGATTGAACGGAAGAAAGCTGCCGCGGAGCGACGAGTGATCGGAATGGCCATCGAAGCAGCACTAGAAGAAGATGACTTTGAGACTGCTTACTCATATGTCGTCAACCGACTAACCCCTTCGACCCCATCTCCAACGCCACCAACGTCGTCAAATTTCTTCTCATTCGGATCTGCAGATGCCGAAGACCATGAAGACGAGGCAGAAGATGTTGCGTGGCGGGCTGCTCTGCGCGCTGGCCGACACGATACGTCTCTCGCTTCATCAAACTCCTGGTCACAAGCTGGTAATGCAGCACGCCCAGACTTGAGAAGATTAGAACAGCGCATGGAGCTACTCTCGCAGGCCCTGCTGCTTGCCCCGCCCAATCGCCTTGAAGAAGTACTAGGAGTATGGCAACAATGCGAAGCCGAGATGATGCACCTCCTGGCACAAGAGACCGAAGCAGAAGAGCGCTTCAACGATGCAGCCGACCGCAAACTCCCCGGCGCCTTCGACATGGACACCATTACCGTACAGCCGCGCCGTGAAGTCGGTCGCGGCGCTGTGGAAGAAGCACCCATGGGTCTCTTTGACGTAGCGCGTGGGGCTGCTGCAGCGTTCTCCAAAACGGCATTTCCACTGAGGGGTAGTGCTCAAGTTGCAACTTCTACAGGATCTGCAGGGCCGGGCTCGGGAAGGGTTAGTATGGATGGGAGCGAGAATGGTAGTATGGATGGAGGTGAGAGGGTCAGGAGGAGGGACATGGTGGCCAATGTTGCTACTGGGGCGCTTGCGTCTGGTTTGGGTTGGATGTTGGGAGCAAAGCCAGTCAATGAATAGGGTGGTGCGTGGTATGCAGAATAAGCAGGTACCTGGCGTTGAAGGAGTGCAATGCTGGAGGGCTTTTATCATACCCAACTTCATGAATGCTTTGGTTCCAATAGACATCGTTCGTTGACTAGATATTGTGGCGTGTGAATGTTTTGACGATCAGTATCCTCATGTGGTAGGTATATGCAATGCTTCCATGCATGCACCCGTTCCGTATATCGGTCTCAAGTGCATCGTTACTTTGACGCGCAGCATTCACTTAGTTATGATGATGGCCACTGGTAAGTAGCGAGAACTTTGCAATTGCCTTGACCCGACTCTCCGTCACAGTCGTCACTAACTCACTGCGGCCGTACGAAAAAGCGTTTTTGATGAGATGCATACACTTCAGCATCCATTCGTCATTACGCTAGTGGCACACATTGCTTGACCTTGTTGTCACCCCAGCCGCACCTTCCCACGAGTACAGCAATCACACCGGGTCAGCCTTTGGGGGATTCAGGCTCTCCTCAAGGTTCGCAACTACCAGAATTAGATCGCGATTGCCTCGGCCTCGCTTACGTAGACGTCAGTTCTTCGTGTTTGCGTCAGACAAGCACACACCTTGCAAAGTCCATCCGTTTGCTGTGCACAATTAGCCTCGGATCCGAGTTACTGTAGCCTCTTCTTTCCACCTAACCCAGTCCCTCACTTCTCTTTCTCAACAACGGGAGGCAATCACTCACTCCCCCGAATCAGCTACCACGGACCAACCTCACGCTTTCTTCTTCCTCCATCCTTCAAGCTCAAACAATCATGCTCACAATGATTCTGGCCTTCATCGGCATTATCGCAGCCTTTGGCGCTGCCATGCCTACTTCCCCAGCCTTCTCCACCACCGTCGATATTGCCAATACCAACATCAACCGCGATGTCAACCCTAACCCCGACACCTTCTGGCAGGTCCGCGTCCAAACATTCACCGAAGACCTCTGTCACGGTGCTTATACGTTCCTTTGGCTCGACCCTAATGTCTGCATCGATTTCAATGCTGATGTCAAGAGCTTGAGAGTTGTGGGTCATGATGGGCCTGTCAAATATAATTCTCGTGAGTCCCTTATTCTCACGTCTTTGCTGTTGCGAATTCACGGCCTTGCCTCAGATTCCATGTTATGAGGATGAGCAGGATGTTTAGATTGATGTATTGTGAGTCAGGGAAAGCTGACATTGGAATAGTCAATGTTTACACCTCGCTCGGCTGCCAAACTGGTCCCACTGTCCAGCCTGTTTTGAGTCGCAAATGTTACCAGAAAGGAGGATATCCGTCCATCAAGTTGAGGACGTAAGATCGCTAGGTAATCAATTCACTACCACACAATCCTACTACCATCAATTTCCGGCGACGTTACGTTGGACATGAATGCTAAGCAACATAGTGCGATTCTCATAAAGAGGCCGAATCTGAGTCTTTCGGGTCATAATCCGTTTGCGCACATGGTGAACGTGGAAACGATATAGAAAGTCATCAGTAATACGCTGAGACCTCAAGCAAGAAAGCAAAAGTTGATTTGATTGTGGTTGCTTCATGAAGGGCATCAGCTTGATAGCGCGTTTATCACAAAGTACGAATGCAATGAAGCATTGGGGAATTCACCAAAAAAACACTTCGAGAATATGACATGTGATATGCGATTGCCGATGCTTCCTATCTACACCCAGAACACCATCCTATGTAGCGCCTATGTTTCATATATACGACATCTCATCCCACACCGGATTCATATACAACAACATGATCAAACCCTATATATGAACGAATGAATAAACAACTCCACCGCTGATGCTTGTATAAAAGACAGCATAAAAATGTCTCAAGCGAAGGGTATCCAATATCCACCACCTACCATCCTATCAACATTCACCTCCCCTTTACAGCGCAATAGGCGGCACGGCATTCAACACCCTCAACATCTCATTTGGTGCCATTTGTGCACTCTGCAAACTCCTGACCTGACTACCCTTCTTCAATCTTTGGAGTCCAAGAGCCAGTTTCCAGCTCTCTGTTTCATCGATGAGGAAGACGTATTTCTTGCCATCTGCATCACGCACCGAGGCACGGAGAATGTGTAGATTTTTCGCGGGCTGTTTACCAGTCTGTATAGGAGTAACTTGTTAGTACAACAACATCGAACGAGGAACGATAAATAGAGAGTGGGGACGTGACATACCTCGACCATTTTGAGCGTCCAAGCCTTGACATCCCATTCTCTTTGAGGGATACCTCTCACGTCGTCGTCGATGAACAGACCTTCAGATTGTATTTTGAGAATGAGTCCGTCTGTTACCTTGCCCACGTTGGAAACGAGTTGGGCGACAGGTTTAGGAAACAAGTCGTTGAAGAGATACACCGCCTTGATGACAATCTTGTTCGGGTCCGCCGTGGAATACGGCCCGGACCTCGACGCAGGAGGTGATGTGCGAGTGGTAGATTGCGACATCTGACTGGGCGCATAGCTCGACTCGGAGTATGCGGAAGACACATGCGAGCGTGTTGCTGTGGAGCGAGGGGGCGCGGTGGAAGTACGCGGTGGGACAAAGGACGCAGCATCGCTTTCACTTGGCTGGTATGTCTTCGCCGAGGGACGTTCATATGGTTTCTTGGGTGTGACGGTCGCTTTGATGGGGGAAGAGTGCGTCGATGTGACTGAAGCGGCGGGCGGAGGGGGCGTAGCTCTGGCACCCGCATATGGATCGAGGCGTTCACCACCACCGACGTTGCCATAAGTGGTTGACCGTCGAGCTGTGAGGTCTGGGACGGCTGCTGTGGCAGCAGCAGCGGCAGCTTCGGCTTTGATGCGTTCCGCCTCTGCTTTGAGTTTGGCTTCACGGGCTTCACGATCTTTCTGGGCACGCTCACGGGCTGCCTTGAGTCGTTCAGCACGCTCGGCATCTGTTTTGGCTTTTGCAAGAGCAGCTTCAGCTTCAGCCTTTGCTTTGGCGGCAGCCTCCTCGGCGGCAATCTTCTCTTGCTCAGCCTTCTTTGCAGCTTCTTCGGCGGCTTTGGCTCTTGCCTCGGCTTCGAGCTTCTCGCGTATCTCTTTTTCGACGGCTGCGCGGACTTCAGCTTCACGAGCCTCTCGCTCTGCCCTCTCCTTTTCGATAGCTTCTTGTTGTTTGCGAGCTTTCTCTTTGGCAAGGCGCTCTCGTGCTTCGCGTTCGCGTTGCTCGCGCTCACGCTTCCGCATCTGCTCCCACTTCTCCTTTTCGGCTTTGGCTTTGGCAGCCTTAGCAGCCTCTGCTTTGGCCTTCTCTTCTGCCTCCTTCTTTTGGCGGGCTTCTTCTGCGCGCTTGAGTTCTTCCCATGCTCGTCTGCGGTCTTCCTCGTCTTTCTTCTTCTTCTCCTCGATAGCTCGCAGTCGAGCCTCTTCCGCCAGTCTGCGCTCCTCTTCGGCCTTGCGTTCCTCTTCTGCGATGCGTTGTCGCTCAGCTTCTTCTTGTCGTTTCCTCTCCTCCTCGGCAAGTCGCGCTTCTTCTGCCTCGCGCTGCTTCCTAGCCTCTTCGGCTAGCCTTTGCTCTTCAGCTTCACGCTTTCGTCTGGCTTCTTCTTCAGCCTGCCTTTGAGCTTCTTCGGCTTGCCGTTGGGCCTCCTCGGCACGTTTGCGTTCCTCTTCTTCTTGTCTCCGCTTTGCCTCCTCAGCCTCCTTGGCCTTCTTGAGCTCTTCCTTCAGCTTCCTTTGTACTTCCTCCTCAAGCATCCTCTTGTGTTCTTCTTCTTGTTTCCTCTTATGCTCCTCCTCTTGCTGCTGCTTCTTCTTCTTCGCCGCCTTTTCAGCCCGCTTACGCTCGGCTGCTTCTTCCTCTTCCTGCTTCTTCTTCGCTTCTTCGGCTTGCTTGCGTTCTTCCTCTTCCTCCTTCCGTTTGCGCTCTTCGTCCTCTTTCCGCTTGCGTTCTTCGTCCTCTTTCCGTTTCTGCTCCTCCTTTTCTTTCCGCCTCTTCTCCTTCTCCTCGGCTTCTTTGCGTTCTTGCTCGGCTCGCTCAGCCTCTTCGTCAAAAAAAGACTCGTCCTCTTGTGGTGGCGGTGGTGAGCCAGCATATTGGCGATATCCACCCCATCCACCATGAGGTGGAGGACTACCGGGGAAGCCGCCATTCGGAGGCGGTGGCGGAGGTGCACGTTGATAGCTTGAGCTTCCACCTGGTGTGTTTGCACCTGCTCCAGCGCCGGCACCTGCTCCGCCGCGACCATTGTAGCCCCCTCCACCACTGCTGAAACGGCCACCAGCTTGTGTCTGGCCAACCGCCCATCCGGCAAACAGCATCAAGACGGCCAGCAGTATGACGCCATTGCCACCGGTCGACACTCCATGTCGGACTATGAGGAAATATTGTTTGACGTGGGGCTCGGCAGCCTTCCACAGCAGGATGCTCGCGATGGTGCTGAGCACGCCCGCAATGAAGCTGTTCTGCTGGACGCCCATGCTAGGGAGATATATGAAGCCGCCCCCTGAAGAGTGCGGCGGTATGATGAAGATGTCATAGTTGCCTGGTGGCAGGCCGCCGCTTGGGCCGGGAGGAGGTGCATGGCTACCTTCTGTGGTCTTTGGATTGGCGCCATGCGGAGGCGGCGGAGGAGGAGGACCGTCGTCCATGGTTGCGTATGCCCACGAGGGCGACGAGAGTGGGTGCTATGGGAATCGCTGCTTGGGGAGATTGTGAGGTTGAAATTACTACCGACGGCGGTCTTGGGCGGTCGGAAAGGGCGAGGCAGTGCAAGAAAACATCAGCTCCACTGACTCGAGATGGAAGCGAACTGCAGCGGGGCGGTGTAGGTGGGGTAAGATGCTGATCAATTTTTGCTTTGTGCAAAGGGCAATTGAGTTTGTGAACACGGTTGCAAAGTATCTAGGACGCCAACAACCTCATAATAATTCTGCTGCGGAGGTGGCTCCTCGGCGGTCCGGGTTTGTTTACGCCAAGAGAACATGGCTCGCTAGCGGGTGCGGGCCGTTGATGCTGCATGGCTACCACGCTGCCACCAACGCCCTCCCAAGCCAGGGGAACGACGATGCAATCGAAGCCAGTTGACCCAGATGCCCTTCCGATGTCTTTACCTGCGACCACTGATGCTTATGTGTTGTTGTGGCTGCGACGAGGTGGAAAAGAAAGTGAAGCTGTTGCCCATTCGACGCGCCCAAACAACACGTCACGCGTGCCAAAACAGACTCGGCTCCTCTTTTCGTCTCTAGCACGGCCGAGCGGTGAATCTGTCACCAAACGTGATTCCACGTAGGGCCAAGTGAGCTCCACGCATGGCACGCGTCAGCATGCGATTCGAGGACGTCGATGAGAGTGGGTTTTCGGTATTGCAGAGTGGGTTGTTCTTGCATTGGCGAGTGGGCATGGACGTGTGTTTTGATCGCTGGTGCAGCGTGCAGTGCAGAGTGCAGGCAGAGCTCCAGCTGTCAGCACCCTCATCTCTGGAAATGCCAGGGTGTCGAACTGCTGGCCAGATGCGAGCGAACCGATACTGTGTCACTGCGGGGTCGAGTCTTGTGAGACCAAGTTTATTTATTGTTAGGAACACTAGGCAGGGGCAGAGAACAGTCTTGTGTGTGGGTTCTTGCTGTGGTGTTGCGTCGTCTTATCGCGCGAGGCCCGCCAATCTTGATTGGACTCCACATCAACAGGTCACCACCAACAGATCTTGGGAGAGACTACCATACGGTACGCTGCAAAGTCTGGTTCCGCAGGTCGGATGCGCTGCCCATGTGCTATCGATATGTGCATGTGTGCGTGGGTTGGTTGATGTCTTCACATCACACCTGGGCATATCACACGCCTGACGACTACACCCTCATCGCTGACTGACTGCACGCGTGACCCAACCACCCTTCTGCTGACTTCGCTCGTCTTCCGCGTCCCTGACGTCCCACGCCAAGCTCATCTCCTCCGCTCCGATATCCGCCTTGAAACAACAAAATGTTGATCAAACATGGCTGTTAGTGTCGCGCGGTTACCCCGCCCCGCCATCTTTGTTGAACCCAACACGTCCGAACACACTCCGACGGCCGACAATAGCCATTGCGCTGGCACAACCCCATCTCAGTGCATGCCACCCGCGGCTGTCACCACCACACCACGCTCTGGAGACCTTCAGCCTTGCGGGAGTGGAGCCCTCGCTGTCTTAACCCGCGGGAATCCACATCCACGTCATGCCGGCCAAAAATGCTTCTCGATCACGCCAGGCGTGCAAGACAAGATGGTAGCTGCTTTCGTCCGCTGCCGGGATGATACGGGACACGAGGGGGGTACGTACGCTACACTCAAACCTGCTGATCGGATGCAGGTACAGGGTGTAGGAATGTTTGGGAGTTTACAGCAAATCACCACCCACAATTGTCACCATGGTACCACGGTGATTGGGCGATATGACGTGAAAAAAGACGTGTTGCATCGTGATGCATACATTAGGCCCAGTCTAGTCAAGAGGCACGGCAATGACAGACTTTTCAACCGGGACGACCAGATTGAGAAAAATGGCGGTGTAGCGGGTGCTAGCGCCGGCCACCTCGATCACCCGCATACTGTCAACAAGTACTAAAGCTAGAGCAGCGGCACATCGCGCCTCCCTGTCCGTGTCCGACAAGACTTTAGAGGGTGACTGTTGCGTCGGCTACTCGTACACAGCAGGAACCCTCATCGAAGACATCCGACCATGTGGAGAACAGGCCTACTCTACCTCGACCGTGGGGACAGCTCCATACTCAACGCCCTCAGAAATGCGGGGTACGACACCAAAGAGCACCCAGGCTCGCCATCACGATCACCTTCCCGCCGCTTCTCAATTGCCAGCGACACCGAGAGCGCCCTCGAGGGCAAGCTCAAGCAAGAGATGCGCCAGCAACAGGGCGTCCAGCACTGGGTCATGCCGCCGGATGTCAACGGCCTCAAGTTTGCCAGTCCCCGCGCCAGCCCGCGCACACGAGCCATTGACCCTGCCGACGCCCTCGGCCTGTCCACAGACGCAACCCTCTTCGAAGAACCCCTCCTTTACTCGCTGGATCGAATAAAGGAAGACGGTCCTTCACCCGACTACTTCTCCTACGATGACCTCGCCAAGTCGCCATCCATCAAGAGCGAGGGCGAAGAAACCGTCATCACAAAGCACCGCCCTTCTCACCTGCGCACACCCTCAACACCAACCATCGAATCAAGACTCGCCAGTGCGCAAAGGGCATCACGAACACTTCCGCTCCGCGCCAAGACCAACGACGGTCTTCTGCAACTACAAGCCAACACATCAAAGCCACAGCGCCCCGCCAACACCCACCAACGCAGAATCTCCCTCGGCCTCCCCATCAAAGCCGCCACCGCACAGAACGAGAACCCTCGCCATCACAGCCCGACCACCCGCTCCCTCCATCCATCAACACCCAAGAAGCTACCAAAGAAGAGCGGACCGACATCGGCCATCCAGCAAGAGCGTGATTTGGAGTACAAGCACCGTCACACATTCATCGGCACAGCATCCCTGGACGACTTCCTAGAGGTTCTCGACGTGTCACCCGAGCAAAACATCACCAACAAAGAAGCGGTAATAAGGGCCTTCATCCTCCTAGCCTCCAGCGAGCGATTGCTAGCACGACAAGCATCACTCAAGCCCGATGGATGGAGCGTGCTTGCGCGGACATCTGCCGAGACGGTCAACACCGACTACGTTGAGCAAGCAAAGGCCAAGCTCGGGTCCATTGTCCTACGCCAATTCCTGGATCTCATCACATTCAACGAAGAAGAAGAGGCAAGCGCCATGGCAGTGGTAGAAGCATTCACTGCCGCCAGCCATCTGGATGCACAAGCGAGTAAAAACGAAGCGAGTAGGGCCAAGGCCTTTCGGAAGCGGATGGTGAAAGACGGTAAAGCGCTACCCCAGTCGTAGGGACGCTAGTTTGTTATTCTGTTATGATTTTTGGTTTCTTTTTTCCACTTTTCAACAGTTTGTCTCTGCCCTTCTTATGATAATGCGACACGTATGATGCCGAATGTCTTATGTTATTACTATATAGCCCATCTCCTTCGATTCGTCTTCACACGATGTTCTTTGCCAGTATCAGCATTTTTAGCGTTCCACACACACCCCCATCCCGCTCACCCCATTAGTTTCTCCCCTTCACCAAAGACCCCTTCCACCTCAACACCGACTTTGTCGCAGCACCTAGGATAGTTCAAAATTTCCCCGGCGACCTTGGCTTGTAAGGCGTGGCTGTCGATCAGAATAGATCAATTCGAAGCCGATATATCCCTGCTCGATTGTTCAATTGCATGTAAAATTTGTCACCGCTCCTCACCGCTCATCATGTATTTCTAGTTTCGAGTCGTCCATCCGCCAGCGTTCATCCTTGTCAGTCATAACAGAGCCTCACCGTCAACCCCTGTCAGCCTCCGTCTGTCTTATACGTCATCCCGCTCTTGGTTTCTATCTCGCCGTCTGACAACTTGACAGCTGCTGCCTTATACTCACCGCAAGGCCAATCTTATGCTTCGGCAACGTACACAGTACAACCCTCCTTACCGCCCATGCCGCCCTTGACAAGTTCCACTATACCGACACCTCGTCTCAGTCTTACCACCATGGTCCCGCCACGGACTTGGTTGTGATGACTGCTCTCTGGAATCAAGTCATCTATTCCTAGTCACTGCGCCTCTGCAAGTGCGCATGTAGAACGACCTCGTGACAAAGTAGTCGTCTGAAATCCCACTTCCGCTCTCATGCTATGGACCTATGCTGTTGTCGCAGTAATTTGGCATCAATGAAGCCGAAAGTAGGCGCATGAATCACGGTATTCGACAAGTCAGTCCCTTAGTCTAGCTGGACCGTGGAGGCTCGCGTTGTAGCAAAAATCAAATTTGTAGACATAGTAGTAATATCAAAAGTCGCCTGATTAGCAGACTCATATCATGTAAAGTCAAAGTACTCTGTGAGATCAAACCTTACAACCAGCGCTATAGTATAAGATACTAGACTTTTTGATGACGCGACATCACAGTTCAAGCAGCCATCGGCTGCCCTGCATACCCGGCTATCACGGCAACTCTCGGGACCTCGTCGGCTAGTATAGCCTCAACACCACAGCGCACGGCCTGTACACTGATACCTGCGCCACAACAAACATCGTCACTGTGGCGCAAGGCGTTTCCATTTGCTGCTGTTCTTAGCAATTTCCCACGTGCATTATCCTCCCTTTGGTGATGGGGTCTTCGGTTCGCGGCTACTACGGCGCTTCTCGTCGAATGAACGTACTGGGAACATAGCGTGAGCCGTTCATCTGGTTTCTGGCGTCGTCAGCTACTGTAAAGTGATCTTGGAAGGGAACACATAAAGCGCGGAGAGCCCATCCACTTTTTCTGGTTCAGCCACACCCAACAGCCACAACCTCGAACTTCACCACTACCAACCAGACTTGTTCTTTGCAAAATCACTACAGCCTAGTTTACCAATACGGATCCCATCACTGCGCGCACAATGGCATCAAGCACAGTCAGTCACATCTTCTTTAACATCTCTAGTCTTTTTTCCTAACTTCCACGCCAGAGCACTATCCTCCTCTACTTCCTCGCGATATGGATTCCCTTCCTACCTGTCGCGATAAAGCGCGGTTGCACCGCTGATCTCTTCATCAACATCGCATTGTGTATTCTTGGTTGGATCCCTGGTGTTATCCACGCTTGGTACATAATCAGCAAGACGGAAAAGGTCCCGGTTCCCTAGGGGAACCAAGTGGGCAGAGGTATTGAGAATGAGAGGGAAGGAAACGGCGCTGGGCGTCTTCGGGTATTTACGGGACATTGGGAACTTTGACAATTCAACAATATTCTTTTTGATCAGGGCAAGTTGAAGCATTCTTTTTTTTTCTGTTCCTGAAAATCGTACCTGTCCTGGCGTGCTAAACCTCGGGAACGCGCCACATCTAATTGAAGAGTGTGTGTCTGTGCACTTTCCGCACCAGCACCAGCCCCAGCCATCTCCACATGTTCGCTGCAAGATGCACCACACGTCATCTCTCCTTTATCTCCATACATTTCATCCACCCATCCGTGTGAGTCAATCTTCCGAAATGCAGTTGCTGTATGCGTACAATGCTATCCGATTACGGATCGGACCTCCGTTTTGATGTCGATTATGTCGTAGATCAGTTACGTTCCCGCAACAAGCTCCCCTGTCTTCCAACCAAGTGCCAGATGCATCTGCGACACCGCGACCTGCTCTGAAGGAGAGGAGTCGATCTCCTGCTGTGCCCCCGCCATGGAACGACAGATTCTATGTGAATAATCTTTAGCAAATACAGCTCGTCTTAGCAGCGAGATGCGTTTACACGGCCGCCGTCGTCGTCTGCTGCTGCCGCTGCCCGACTAGCTCTCCAATCGCTCACGCAAACATCGCTGCAAGTTCGCTATCGTGTTCGAAACCGCCAATGCAAGCGCTTCAAGTTTTCAATAGAATCCTCAAGCGACACAAGACTTATTTGAACCCTTGTCGTCGTCGTCAGAACCATATCGCACAACGGTCAGGGAGCACCATGGCAAGACGGTTGGTGAAATGCCTGTGGACTTCTTCGACTGACTGATCAAGAGTGATGATCCAGATAGACCGGTAGGTTAAAAGGATGTGTTGAAGGCTTGGTAGGATGAGAATGAGGCGATGGTGTTGTTGCAGTCGCAAGCTATGCCATCGAAAACGTCAAAGTCATCGCAGCCGCAACTGCAAGCTGCGCAGTATCGTAAGCGTCCCTACAGAAACTGTATGTGAGTTTTATGCTAACTTGATAACCCAGATGTAGACCTATACCCTCCTCATTCGTCCCTCCTCATTCGTCCCTCCAAACTTCGCCGTCGCCAGCGCTTCTTCCGCGGTCTCAATACATTCATCCGCCGCAACCACCGCAACCCAGTACCCGCCTAAGTCACCTCTATGCGTACTTCCTTTTGGCACTCATAAGGGAAGCATACTGTGCGATGCGCCAGAGAACCATTCTGTGTTCCTCTGCGTGACGAAGATGTGGCGACTGATATGTCCTTATGTTGAGAACGCGCTCCGGTTGATGGTTCAGGGCTTCATCATCTTCATGTGGACCAACCTCGTGTAGAGAGCCTTCACAGCCGGTGTTAGGTGAAGTCTCTGTGCTGAGTCAATCATCGTAGGGCACGCTACCAGGTCCTCATCCGCATGAGTTGTGTTCAGACCCCTCTGATCAATTCACATTCGATGATTTTACATCAATGAATTCGCAACCTCCTGCTTCCAGCTTCCCATCTCGCAATAACCGAATCGTTTCGACCTTGGTGTCCTCATTGGGAAAACCATCGCAGAAGTTCCTGCTGAACACATGGCCTCCCATTGGGACTTCGCTAACAGGACTTCCTGGAGAGGCAGTTCTGTATAGTCCTAAGTTTGACAAACACAACGGGAAGGATGTAAGGGAAGTGCTGGGTCATTGTCTCCGTTGGCGTAAGACAATGAAACTAAGTTGTGAGAGCAAGTCTATGCGGGCTGCAATTGATCAAGATTGCCAGAAACGCAAGCATGAGTATTACCATGACTTTCCGTGTTGTTTGTATTTTTGAGCGAACTTGCCGCAAATTCGCCCATTGCTTCCCGGGATGAAGTCGATATCAGGAACACTTATCACGGGCGATTCTGGTGGGGATGCTGAGGCACCAGGGTTGTTCTTGGAGGTGTGCGAGTTGGCGCTGAGACATGTGTGGCTAGTTGCCATCTCGCGTAAGCTCAGCCTGCAGATGCGGAGCTGGAGCGTCTAACTTAAATTTCCTGACTGACACTACAGATCGTAACCCAACAATCGCTGTTTGCAACACCATAGCATCCACTCTCAAATGCTGCGCCTAGTGTTGATCTCATATCATGGCTTCAGGTAGCATGACAATAGCAGGTTCTGAGCCAGGCTTAACGCGAAACATATCAGACCGAGAATCTGCAACCCGGGAACGTCTTGCACAATCTCCCTTGATAAAATTCGCACGCTTCAACAACGCTACTTTAGAGCTCTTCGAGTCGCGTATCGAAGACACGGATTACATCGCTTTCTCTCATGTCTGGGGCGACTGGTCTTGGCGTTCAATTGATGGTATACCGTATGAGATAAAAGCATCAGAAGAGAAAGCCCATTTCATCGCAAATGACCTACCGGCTTTAGTTGGCGAAGTTGCCTTTTGGATGGATACATTAACTGTCGATCAGCGAAATCCAGTAGAAGTCTCGGAGATCGTGGATGCTATCCCGAATATCTTTAGGATGGCCAGAAAGACCATCGCAGTCAGAGAATGCGATGGGTTATACGACTGCTGCATTGCTGCTGTTGATGGCTTCGAGGACTATGGGGATTTCAACGACAAGTTATACGCCCATGGTGGGACGCACAGGGACCATATCTACGCGGAATCCTATCTTCAGAGACTGTGGACGCTGCAGGAGTGCCTACTCTCTCATACGATCGAGTTCGTGGTTGGGACAGACAGTATGTCATAGTCTATTGCTTGATGATCATGATTAATCAGTGATCAGATCATCCAAAGAAGCTTGCAGTGTGGGAACCGGTTGACGACATACTCAACTCCCACCGCCAGACCGCCAAGACGGGGGTTATCATAAGTAGCCTCTCAAGGCTAGCATTCTCGTTTGATATGTCCGAATACACCCTGATAGAGCTTCTCAAAGCTTATGTTCATGGCGGCACTTTCGTCACTCCCCGTAGAGTACAGCGTAGCCAGGAAGAAGACATTCATTCTGGTGATTTTGTAACAGCTAATCGAGCATCTCAAAGATCCGCTACCATGCCTCGCGACTACATCTTTGCAACGATGCCCTCCTTCCCGTGGTACACATATCCTAAGAAAGAGGCTTTGTCAATGTCCTTCGGGGAGATCTATCTGGACCTTTACCAACAAGCTGCACGCTCAGGGCATGCTTTCACGTGCAAGTTCACGCGTTCGATGCTCGATCCCGCGTGTACAGATTCCACGAATGGTTGGCTACCAAGCCAACATCTTCCAAGTCCGACAACGCTTGGTGACTTTATGAAACTCGTCGGACAACGCGTACCTGAGAGCTCGAACGCTTCTTCACCGCATGTGCACATCACATCGGTTGTGCGAGTCGAGGAGTTTGACTATCGAACATCCCCAGATTCCGTCATAGCTCTGCTAGAAGCATGTCAAGAAAACTTCGAAACACAATGGAATGAGTCTGTCTTAGGCAATGAGCTCCCAAAATTCGGCCACCATGCAAGTCTAGATTGGACGCTTGATCATAAAGATGCCATGAGCTGCGGTTGGTTACCTATCGACTCAGTGTCTGCTATTCGAACGAATAAGGACAGTGACCAACATTTTATAACAGGTAACTTGGTCTTGAGATATGAGGAAGACGACATCATACCAAATCTCTGCGATCTTGCTGGGATTGAGGAAGAGGCACGTGCATACGAGGTTAGCAAGCATGTACATCTCTTTGTGCAAGCCAGGAATATATTACAACATTCGTGGATTCTGTTTAAAGGGGATCGAGACATTGCTGAAAAGCCTTGGTGGGAAGACATCAAGGAGCAAATACAGGGCCCGTCATCGATACCACTACTATACGCCATGCTCCTTCTCGCTGCCATGATCAACTGCCGCGTTCCATTATCAGCCGCAGCATGGGTCAACAAGCTCTTTGCCCCCGTTCAAATTCACTATGGCGATACATTTGTCGCCATCGGCCTCCTAGCAAAGCACGCACGCCAACCCAAAGACCAAAGGCAACAGCCCATTTCCCTACTATGCGTTGGTCAGCACCTCCCAAATCCAGGCGAGGAAGCCATTTGTAAAGATCTAGTTCTAGTAGACGCAAAGTCCAAAGTCCCGGTCGGCCTGGTCCCTGATTTTGGGTCTAATTTGATCAGCGATGAGGAATATGCAAAGTTTATCCCCATCCTGTATAACGGGTCTTGTGAGGATTTGGGAGAGAATGAATTACGCGTCACACCTTCCCCGCTCAGCAGTACAAATCCTTGAATTTTGTCTATTGTGGGATGGTGTAGAGGTACCCAATAATTCTGATGCATAGAGCTGCTGTACGAAGAACCCCTTTTTAGTAAGGTCGCATCAGTCAGCACTTCTTGCATACTATGGTACCTCCTGTAGTACCGAAAGTTATGCATCTGGTCTCCTTCCATTTGGGAGGAATAGAGTCATGCCCGTCTTACCTCTCGAATCTTTCATTATAATGTCGTCTTGTGCCACCTCGCGTTCGCTTATACAAATCATTCCAGCACCCACGGTATGCAGGATCTTCATGTAGTACAAAATCAAGACGCGACACCAAAGGAGATGAAGCCTAACCGACCATAAAACCTCGCTACTAGTAAAGCGTTAGCTGATATGAACCATGTGCATTACTGTTGCATAAAAAGCATCATCCAATCAAGGTTGAGTTAGTCTACTTTTTATCAGTGGTTACACGACTTACATGCCTCAATATTAAAGTTCATGATGTGGCGTCGCGCCAGGAGGTAGCTAAGTCATGGCTTTTGCACACGACTACCCTTTATTGGCAGCAAGAGAAAGAAACACATTTACCTCCCCTGCTGGATTGTATGTTCGTTTTTGTCTCCCTTGTCAAAATGTGTGATGTCATCCTGAGGATCAATGCTTCACAATGTGCGCATCTTGAAAACTCTTCTTAAAGTCATGCATTAGAAGGATTGATTCAATCAGTAGAAGAGGCCGCTTCGCGTTACACTAGCGAACGCATACGAGTTGGTATGGTATGAGATATTGGACAAGGAAAATCACCCCTCATAGGAGCTCTACTTGATGACAAGGAGATAATCAAGCATGTAAGTTCACTGGAAAGATCTTAGGGTTTTGCTCGAAGCTAACACAACAAAAGAGTCGTAGCGGCGAAAGTTGTACACGAACCATAATAGAATATCAGTACTGGGCTGGAGAGCCTTCGAAGTCTCAGTATCAAGCCACAATTTCGTTCTTGTCCTGGGAAGATGTGCAGAAGCGGCTTGAGCTTTGCTTCGAGGGTCTCGATGACGGGCTCTTTCTACCGGAAGACGAGCACGACGATGAAGACGCAGATTTCAGGGAGTCAAAATTAGACTCTGCCATCGCCGTCTTCGAGGCACTCTTCCGGGGATCCGATCATTTCGCAGACAAGGACGCTATGGCGCAATACATGTCAACGAGCTCGCAACCACCTATACGGTTTGACATTCGAGACTCACTCCTTTCTTTGGCTCGTCAGAAGTATAACGACGTATCGAACGCCAATCTTCCGATACGTGCTCAAAAGGCAGACAAACTTTGGTCGCACATCGTGCGCTTCACCAACGGTCATCCAGCTGGCCGTACTACGAACGATTACGACGCCTGGCCCTTTGTTGAACTTGTATCGATCGGTGGTCCGTTTGCTGTTCTGGAGAGGATTATCATGCTAGCCAATACTCCAGGTCAGGACGATATCAACCTCCTTGCTGCGGGCAGTGTAGTAAGTTCTCTACCGCGATGGACAACAGTGATCATCGCTCACAAAATCGACCGCATCTTGTCTACTCGTAGCCATCAAAAGATGATCAGGGCAAGGCGTGGCTGTCCTGTGGCTGTAGTGGCTACGTGTTCGGAGGTCGAAGATTCTTCTAGCATCGACAAGAACGAGTTTGAGCAAACTGAAGAAGTCCGGCGGCTTGATGCGCAGCTTGAACAGTGTGAAAGCGAGCTCCTGTGCTATGCAGCGTCCTCTGGGTACAGACCGTTAATACAGCTAAAGAAACGTCTCATTCAATCTCTCAAGGCACAGATCTTTGTGGACTAACGTAACCAACAAAACTCGAATAAGATCTTGTCACGGACAATCTCACCTAAAGATGTGTTCTGCGTCTCCACACACGATTATCAGCGCAATCTCAATGGATACGCATTTGATGGCTTCGCCTCGTTCCCACTCACTCCAGAACGATCACAAATACCTGCACTGAAGAAATATATTATTTCGCTCTGTGCGTCGATTCGGACTAGGGAACTTGTTCGACATGTAGCGTTCACGTTACTGGATCTCATACATAACGTAGAAAATTGACAGTGGAATTGGTGCATTGCGTGAAACATGTCTTGCCAATATTCATCGTTGCATCGACAAAACATTCGAGGATCGTATCGCGGGCCAGCTACTAGGGACATCAGAGACTGTCTTGCCTGCATGCATTGACGTGGCGAGAAAATTGTGTCGCGAATCGCTCAGCCGGTTCTATCACAATAGGAACAGAACTTACATGCGAAATGAGGGAAACTACAAGTTGCCTAGATCCAACGTCCGCCCTTGGAATACGCAGATGCTCAATGTCCAGAACCGATCACTGTCGAGCTAGACACATTTATCCGACGGATCACCCATAAGCCTATCGCACTTCAGGATATGGAGAATGCTTATACCAATGGCATTACAGCTTTTATGCAAGAACAGAACGACCGCTGCTGTACGGACATATTCGAAAGGTCATACTTTCGGAATGAGATGAGCAAAGTCTACGATAAGAGCCACCGGACCAGACCAACACCAGGACAGACAGTGAAGCTCGCACAAATGGAAATGTTTGAGCAACTACTTTGCAACACGAACCCCAATCCTTTCAACGCTGTCTATACGCGTTTGGAAGAAGCCATTGTTTCGGAAAAGCAAAGTGTCAAGGATCTCTTGGAAGAACATGTTGGTGCCTTGTTCCGGAGTATCGAAGAGGAGCTTGAGCGGTCAAGAGAAGTCCGTGTGGCCCTGACCGACGAGGAGGCTCAAATCATGGATGGTCTGCTAAACAGTACAGTGACGGCAGCAAAGGTGCGAGGGATTCTTGAGGAGAGATTGAAGGAGTGTGGGGTGGACGTGGAAGCCATCAAAGCAGAATTGACTGAACGTCAATCATTGTAGACACGAGTTCACTGTCGCTTTGCAAAGCGGAACCTCAGCAAGTTGCTTTTGTGATGGCGGTTGCGAACCGGGGTTGTGACGGAGGTTGGGATGGCGACAGCAGGCATCCTCCTATTCCGGGCCGACTGGGCAGATCGCGCTAGCTGTTGGCGCCAACATCCCCCTCCAGCTTCAGCCCTGACCTCCATCTTTCCTGCATGACACATGCGTGCACGTCTACACGCACTCGAATCGCATGTGGAGACCACGAATCGTACCTGGACATGATAAAGTTCCGGCTCTTTGATCCGCTGTCAGGGTCAAAGGCTCAACTACCGCCTGCCACCAATCGACCACCGACCAAAACATGAGGCTGTCACTTTAGCGCCGTGACCCACAGCCACTCCTTTTGCCATACACGCCATTTTTAGGGTCTGTGTCAACTGCCAGGCCCTGAAAGTTTTATAAGACGCATGGGGCATGTAGCTTTGGCTAGCAGGCCTCTACGATGTTGAATTTGAACATCCTGGAAAGACTCGACGAAAGCTCGTTGGGTCAACTTGCTGACAGCCGTAAGAATAGAGTTGGCGGCCCGGTGGGTGTATGCGTTCTCGTCGTATTATCTCTCCCGTCTCCTGTAGCTCGCTCCTGGTTACCAGTGGTGCGCTGGCATAGTGCCATGTTCAGGGTAGCGCCGGTCATTTCTACCACCCTGGTTCAAGAAGTCCAGCCTCGAGTCGCCCAGCTCCAAGACGCAACCAACGTGTTATCTGCTCTCCATCTATCTAATGTTTCCTCGATTCACGCGTCCTTGCCCCTCTTCATGTTGTGTGTTTACATCATCGTTAAGCTTCGTTTCCCACTTGCGTAGTCATGTCAGCTGGCACTCTTCTCTCTCGTCTAGTATCATGTCCTACAATATCAATATAAATTACGTCTGTTCAACTGTGTAGATGTTGATAAGGTTACACTGTGCGGTGGTATTCGTACCACGAACATTCTGAGATTAGAAAGCCCGGCTATTCTGCACCCTACACAGATATTAGCAATTGTGATGCCACCGAGCTAGGGATTGGAAAACCTCTTCAACAATTGAGCAGTACGTTACTCCAAGTACTATTACCACTCCTAGTTGCTCCTATGGATCTCGATATCGGTTCTCGACGCTTGGCATGACGAGTGACGAGAATAACGTCTTGGGTGATTTGGTGCGAGTTTCGGATTGTGCATCTCGAATCCTGACTTCAAGCTGTGGTATGCGTGATATTCCACGCAAACCAAGGTGCGAGAGACTGTTTCTAACCCCACCCCGTCTCTGCTTCGCTTGACCATCACATTTCTTTCTTGCACTTGCGTTCTGGAGACTAGATTCCCAAACCGCACTTTCTAGATATCATCAACTTCGACTTACTTTTCCTTACTTGAACTCTAATTCTCTCATATACCACTACGTTTGTAGATTACGTTTATTCTCAACTCCACTGTTCTACGCAACCACGCATCGTGAGTCTTATACCCGTACAGTTAGTCGTGCTATCATCACTCGTACTCGCCCAGTATAACACCTGCGGGCTCATGGATGTAAAGATAGCTGCAATATGGGAACCCGGAAATATTGGTAGTGATGCCACCAACAAAGGCGCAGGCAGATTGTGGCAAGACGCTCGAGATCCACTTCACGCTAAGAACGGATCTCAAGCTATGGAGTTGGTATCCTAGCGACTGGGATCAAATCGAGAACTGTAACTTCGGCGACGACGACAACGACGGGTTAGCACTGCTAGGTAAGCTAACAAAAATTACCCAAGAGCTTAACAATCTAGTAGAGAGACAGTGATCTGTACGTCAAGGCGGTCCAGATGAATTTTCGAGCATCACAGTGTTGATCGACTGCAGGGAATCCTCTCGGCTGAACGCTTGCTTTCTTGCTTGCACAACACAAGGCTGAACTCGGCATAAAACACATAACAGCGGTGACGATCTTTCGCGATAACAACGACGACCCCGATGATAACGGTCCGTATGAGTACATGTTGTACAAAATCGAAGACATATAAGAGATGGATATATCAGTACAAGCCTGTCGTATCGGCAACGTTATGCTACCCCGAGAGCAAGTTGAGCTATAAAAAAAAACATCATCCGCACTCGTAATATAGCCATCTGAGATAGACACTTTTCCATGAGGAGCACGTGACAGTCGGATGCGATATGGGTGGATGCCGACTGAGGGTTGTGCAGAAGGAATCGAGATCGTAGATGAGAGTCCCTTACATGCAGGTGTTGAAATTCTAGGAGGGCGCGTCGGACAGCGCAATGCAATGTTGCTAGTCTTAATATGTGCGATAGATATCACATCCCCGTGTGGAGGGAATAAAACCCACCTAAAACCAAGTCTGCTAGGGCAGTATCCTTTTTTGTGACGTACACGACCTCCATGTTGCAAAGACATTTACCGACCTCACACATTTAGGATTCGTGTGACCAGAGCCATCGCACGCAAAAAGCAAGCAATGACGCCAGTGCCCCACCCGTGCACTAAGCATTCTCGCTAAGCAAGGTCCCGCGGCATCCCGTTCCATGACATCACAGCCACCTTTCTTGCAGTTCATTTCCAATCACCTCTCAACTTTCCCATCCTCGTCTTTTCGCCGGACCCAGCCGGTACGCTGATTAATACTGCATTTGTGCGACGACGTTTGGTCATTTGCTAGGCTACGGCTGCGCGTGGAAGTGATAAGCTTCAGCGAAGCAATGATGGCGTATGATTGACACTAGGGCCTCGACAGTTGGCGGGTGCGTGTTTCCCTTGTGGGCCGGACAAGGTTGGAGACGGGGTTAAGATTTAATTTGATCTGTGATGGAGAGGATGGGATGCGCGCCATATCAGTTGACGTAGGGTGGTTGGCAAGCGGACCCTTAAGTATGCAACTGCCGTGAAACCTCAGCTGGAGGCTCGATACTTCCGCGCGGTGACTAGTTTCCTTCGGAGAAGAACCCAACGGCCCTTTTTGTTGACCGTTTCTTAACGCGTCTACTATCCCAACCTTCCGCGCCCGCCCTTGTCGTTCTTCATTCTATCTGTCCCACCACGCACACTTCGTTGAACAACTCCACCTCACATCTCATCACTAGCATTCATATCCAGTCAAGATGGCGGTAATATGGGGTCTCGACTTGAAGGAAATGCAATGGGGCAAGTTCAAGTCCGGGTACATGTTTGGGAATACAATGTACCACAACCGCCGCACAAAGTTCATCATCTACCAACTCGCGATGATTCTCTGCGTTGTCAGTGAGAGTTTGGGAACGGCAGCGCTATCTGGTATGATACATACTTTTGCATACTCCTACTCTTGGTGGCTGCAAACGATGCGTGCCACCATTCCATGTCCGGGATAGTAGCTAACATCAGGCCAGACTATGTCGACCAGCAGAAGTTCGTTTCAAAACTTGACGGTAACGTCACAGTTCACAACAATGACTTTGTCGGTATCGCCTCGTACAACATCTTCGTTGGCATCTTCGTTGCCACCATCTTCGGTGCTGCCTTCTTCTTCGACCTTTTCTGGCCCGAGCGACAGGAGTCGAAGGGCGTCAAGACCGCCTGGAAAGCTTGCTCTGTCTTTGCTTGCATAGCCGCGCTCGCCGACGTCCTGGCGTATACATATATCGTGGCCAGCAGGAGTGCGTACATAACCGGTACGGATCCTGCGACCGGTGGTTCATTGTTGTCGCAGTTCAAAAAGGCCGGAGAAACTCCGCTTGCGTACAACAAGAACGGGCGCGCGATTGCTAGTGTCGTATTCTTGTGGCCTGGCATGATCTTCACATTCGTCAGGTACGACCTCTCCTATTCAATCTTATCGCTCTTGCTGACCTACGATCCTAGTACATATCTGCTGTGGCACTCATTAGCCCACATCGACGCTCACGGCCCGATGTCAACACACGCCCGCAACGAGAAGGCGGCTACAGATGGCGCTAGTGTCGCGTCTACAAGTCTCGACGGCACAGCGCCAGTCACACAACCCGCGCCGACACATACTAAGCCCGTCGTTAGTACCGTATAGAATAGGTTCTTAGGGGGCAAACCACGTCCTGCTCCTGTTGTTGAAGAAACCGAGTTGCAGGGCGAGAATTTTGAGATGCAGAGTTTCCAGGAAGGAGTGGAGACTTTGGGTGAAAGCAATATTGAAACGGTGCCGACCGATGAAAGCGATACCCATCCAGCTTTCCGGATGGGGAGTCCTTTCGGGTTTCGGACGTCACCACCTGAATAGACCATACAAGGATGGACGTCGATTCGAGTCAGTGGACTCTTTGTACGATACACGACGAGTTTGTTGGGATAGATGTGGTTTATTGAGTATACCCCCACATCTGATGCGGCGTTCTTACGGATAAGTGGGATCTTGAGTATTGATACCCCAGTAGCTTGTTCAGTTACATGAAAATGAACCATAATATCTGACTCAATCACTGCATTAGTATTCGTAGTAGTCTAATACTTATTTCCGGTCATCTTCTTGTATATGCAACGATTTCCAGCTATCCACTTGGGTTCTGATCAGAACAAACGACAAGAATCCCCAAGCCGAGCAGATCATAATTCCCGCTTGAACTCATGGCTGTACGGCACCGTCTCGCCGCGCTCGCCCAAGCTCATCTCATGCGCCCTGCTAAGATTTCGTCCCAAATCCAGATCTACCATGCTATCTTTCCTCCTGATACCGCGTCGCGTATGTTTTACTTTTGTGCCCTCATCCAGCATTTCCGTATCTTCGGGCAATATGTCATCTTGAGGTACGTCGTCGATACGAAACAGAAGTTGCACTTCCGCATTATGATCAGGTTCGGTCTTGAGATCACGGAAGATGGTGATGGAAGAGACATGTTTCAATCCAAGTTCTTCCTTGTGTTGGATAAGGAAGAAGGCTACGGTTGAACCGATGGGCGAGCCCAGGAGTACTAACGTCTCTTCACTCGGCATATTCAATTGTAATCCCGGCCAAGTTGGAACGCCTTCAGTATATCCATGATCTAAAAGGATCTTGATAATGATTGGCACTGTGTCCTCATTCGTGACATCTTGGCCGAACCAATATTTGAGGTTTTGAGGAGTTGGACTGCGTAACCAATATGCAGCTAGGATATCGGATGCTATACTTAGCTTGGGGAGCTCTTCTTTCTTAACGTCCTAGTCTAGATTCTCTTTTGCTGCGGCTTTGGGACCGAGAAAATCTTGACCGAATATCACTGGAAAGAGGTAAATTAGCATCTTTTCTACCAGACACCAACGGAATTCTGACACTAATGCAGGTAAAGTGTATCATGTAGGAGGAGGATAGGAGACTCACCGCCGGGTTCCGGATTTGAAGTAAATCGGAACCAAGCACCAGTATTCTGGAGTCAAAACGTGTCAGCAATGAATCCCTTGCACTAGTAAATTCGCTTCCCCCTTTTACTCACCGGGTATGTTTTCCCGTCGACTTCGTAATTTTGCTCATCGATGGAAACTTCTTCCCCATCCTCGTACTTTAGTTGATCATCGTTATGATCGATGGAGATACCGATGTTTTTACCGCCGTCTTCCATGGGAGTGGTACTTAGACCCAAAGCTGTGAGTGCGACTTCGATCATGTTCTTAACATCGGGAATTTTGTCGCCGAAGTTGGCGCTTACATCCTGGTTGTATTCGCCTTCGAACCAACCCCAAGTTGCCAGTTCATCTGTCGAGAAATGTGTGTTAGCATATGGTTATACTCGATGCATAGACTTAGGAACATGCCTTCTAGAGTTCCTTTCCAGGGACTGCTTGCTGAGAGAGGCACTCTTTTGAATGGTTCTGGCCATTGAACTCCAGCCACAGAATCAGACATGTCCATAAGGCAATAGAACATGTTTCCTTTACCCTTGAATCTCTGCCATGAACTGTCGTCGGGGGTATTACTTGTGTCCCAGTCTATTCCTGCAATCTGGACTGACTGCTGGTCACCGTTTGAAGAGTGATTGGCGAGATGTAACGCACTATCTTGGGCGATACAAGAGACCTGGCTCGGAGGGAAAGGAGGAGGAGGTGCCAAAGGGTTTTTCGACGGGTTTGGCGTAGACCATTGTTACGCAGACCGCCAGGGTTATGGAAAAAGTAATGATAGTCATGGCTAAGTGGACTTGGAAATTTGAGTTGATTGGGTGCAAGTTCATCCAGACTTTGGTTGGAGAGCGAGATGTACCAAGGGAGAGAAGTCAGAAGCGAGTGGATTAACCACCTCGTCATCATGGCGAAATACCTGAATAAGTGGGTCGGCGATAGATGATAAAACGACCGAATGAAGTGGCAAACGTATATTCACCTAAATTGTAGAGAAAGCGATTCAGTTTAGTGACGGTGTAAGGGAGTAGATCCGGCCTATGCCCCTTGGCTGCAACACCTTGTCAGATTCTGGCGAAGAATGGTACAAAATATACGCTTACCACCGTTTGTGGATCGCTACTTATTGTGATAACTTACCATGCCTCGAGAATTCGTGCTTCATGATATTAAGCAAAAATGTGGATGGGCCGCGAGACAGAAATATTGTACTAACGTATTCTAACTCGCTCAAACCCACGGCTTACCACCATCGTCCGACCCCTTCTGTCAACACTCACCATCTGCAACCTCCTTACATTCTAACTTAAATTCACTCTATCATTCACCATGCTATGGCTCCTCTTAACTCGCCCAACCTTACTCATCCCCCTGCTTGTCTCCACATCATTGTCGGCATCCATCATATCATAGTCTTCAGGCAGCAAATCGCGATCCGCAACATTTTCGATACCTAAGACTGATTTCCTGTCCGTCTGAAGTATACGATTTCCTTTGTAATCGTGGCAAATGGTCATCTTGGAGATGTGCTTGTCGCTGAATTCAGCTCTGTGTTGGAGGAGAAGGAAAGCGAAACTTGAGCCAATGGAAGTGCCTCAACAATCGAAAGGAAAAACGCTAACAATGTTCCATACCAAAAATTGAGAGGCTTTCGTTGAACGAGCAAGAACGAATTAGCCTCGTTCTCCATAACTCTTGCTTTCCCCATTACTTCAATTATGCTTTCCTACCGACTCGAAAGCGTCCCGCGGCATACTCATTGCACCGAGACATATGAATGAACGCATAGTATATGAAAGATAAGAGGGCAGACCTGAGCAAGTCAAGAGGAGAAACAGAAAAATACAGACGTACGAAAACTCCCGAGAATCGCGATGCGTCACGGGAGGGAACAACCAAACACACCGTCAAAGACTTCGATAAAATGTCTATTAAGGTCTTCTCATCAGCTGCGCGACTCACAATGAACTTCCCTTTGCATCCTCGAAGTGAACGATCATTGCATACCTCATGACGCACAAAATCACGGATAATGCTTTCACACTTACAAACAATACGAGGCTAAGTGACACTCGTTGCCTCAAGTACACAGAGGGTCACTTCGCCAGCAATATCTATTTGCGATCTTGGTTATCGGGATGCCGGTCGCACAAACGCGACGTCTCGCTGTTATCCGAAAAACGAGAGGTACGTTACTCAGCGCGATTGTGTAGCAGCCCGTCGCAGAAAACACATTTGACCATGTTGTATGTACCGAGGTTTGTGTGCTGACTGCACTGCTAGTCCGAAAAACAGATGTTGCGTACGAAAGACGGCCCGTCTGCCTAGTCGTATACTTTGTATGGGTGGCCAGTCGGAACTCCAAGGAATGTTTCTTATCAGCGCAACAGCTGGCGTGAGTGTGCTGGTGTCATCGCAACATGCCCGAAAAGCTACGTGCAGTCATGGTGACCACTCCATGTCATCACAAGACTACAATCTGACCAGTAATCTGACCTGGCTAGGTGGTGGTGTGAGGAATACTAAGTATTGGTAACGCAAGGAAAAGTCCATATTTGGTTTATCCCCATGTTCGAGTCGAGAACCGACATCTTGGTACACTACTGCACACATGGGAGGCGTACGAATGCAGTAGCTCTGCCGTAAATCTACCAGCTGCAACCAGTACTTTCATGGCTGACAAGGCGGGGCAACAAGGAAAGTTGCCGACGCCGTGACTGAGAATTAAGCTACGAGCTGCAGTATCGCATGCAGCCGCGGAACGATTGGAGCGCCACTTCCATCCAAGTGCCAAAGGGAGTGAGATCCGAAACTAGAGTTTGGCGTTACTTGAAGGCTGCAGGCGGCGCATTATCCTGGCGTTGAGGGCTGTCGACGGCGCATTATTTTTTGGGTGTCGGAGGAATAAGAAAGCGTATCGATAGTGGCTGCAGTCTTCCGGAAGTGTAAGCTTGCATCGTGCAGGTGGAGCGGAATCGTTTGTCTGAGAAGAGCTGATGTCACAGTACTCTTTTAGCGGAACTCTGTTCTTCCAAACGGTAGTCGACACAAACCTGCGGAAGGTTTCTCCTTTGTACAGCATGCCTTGAGCCTACCTATTTAGTGCTGACTGCACACGCGGAAACGTGGGCGCAGAGCAAAAGAACTGGTGTTCGGCGAGCCTGCAGTCAGCCTCGGATGCTAGCATATTCAAGGACAGCAAGATGACGCACAAGGCCTGTCGTAGCGAGCTTCGAAAAGTACGCACAACAGCACCGGAGGAGCGGAACGAGACGCGAAAGGGTACATAATTCCGGATCGACGGCGGAAATTTCTTTGGTGCGACGACTCATTGAGTCGCGACAAAAGTCGTAGGGCTGGCACGCGAATTGCTCAAGGAACACGGTCGGGGAGAGATGGCGGCCTCGGACTGTGTAGCCCAAATCGTAGCGATTTGGGCGCCAGCGCGAAGGAGATCATCAGGGACTGCGTGATGGGCTGCGTGGGTGTGAAGTCATCCTTGCTGATCGTTTTCCAGTTGGCGTCCGGGGAGCTCGAGGTCAGGTCCGAGATGAAGCAGGTTTGCGTGAGAGTGACCTCGCAATAACGCAGAGCAACGTGTTGCCTGCTTGGGGATTCAAACGTAGTTCCAACGTTACACTGTAAGGACCGAATAAAGCTTCCGTGAAACGCTATGAAATGCGATGCTCGCAAGCTGGATTCCCCTTTGTAGAAGACTCCACCGGCTAATGGATCCGGGTGCCCCAGCCAGTACCTGTCAACACGACAGCTAGTGCGACGGTGCTCATGGAACTCTCCTTTGCAGCAGCGCAAAGTTCGTGCAGCGCACAGTTGGCCTGATGGTCGGCTTCAATCCGCTGGTACATCGGCGAGCGGCTTGCGGGCACTCTTCCAGTAGTCAGGCGTAGCTCCACAGCACAGTAGAAATTCCACGTGTGGGCAGGGTTGTCTTTGTACGCGATGATCCTTTTCGAGGTCATAACCCTTGCTTCGCTTCTCATCGCTGGGACACTGGCACGCAGATTACAGTAGCGCGCTCAAAGAGGAAGTGCCAAAAGCCGTTCCTGGACCCACTTTCCCAGCTCCCCGCAAGCTCTAGCTCACGATCACAATTTCGACAAAGTTTTCTGTGGAGAAATCCGTCAAACAGCTGTCAAATTGCAAGGCGGTCGTGATTGACAGCGATGCTGCTGGTAAAAGGTCGGTGGCTGATACCAACGTCATGAGGTAGATAACCTGAAGGAGTTCAAACCCTGTAAGATGTGACGACGCTTCAATGGCAATCTCGATGGTTGAGTGTGTGATTGATAATGGCTAGCGATAAAGTTGGAGGAGCATGGACTGAAGATCGCGAACGCTGTTTGAGTCCTCAACGCTCCTGCACTGATGGACTTGTCGACGGCGTCTGTAGCAGCCCAAAGAAAACAACGTCCCGTTGCACCAGCGGAAGAGAGCGATCATGTCTACACCGGTGTACACCTAGCATGCGCATATACCACGCTGGTCCAGCAGGCGGTGTCGCGTGGCATTCGGCATGTCTCTGTGTGAGGCTAGTGGATAAGGACGGGATGCCCTTGTAGCTCGTCTCAGCCTGATTGTGAAGCACCCCCATCCCTGTCCATGTCTAGTAAGGGCGAATCAGGGTCGGTGCTGCTTGCGAATTATATTATTGGACTGGCATAACGGCTGCATTCTGGCAAATGTGTTTACGATGGAGCGACGGGCTGTAATACGGAGCAACCCAAATTGAGCAAAAAGGCGATGTCATAGTTGGTTCCGTGTCAGAAACAATTCGTCATTGGGACGGCTGGCCTCCGAAGTTAAGCAAGAGACTGCGTCAGTGAGGCTTGTGGCAGAGACAGGTCAGTTTTTTTCTAGAAGGAAGCGATTGTGCGTGAAACCTTGCTGGGTCATAATCCCGGAACGTCGAACGCATGCAGCAGCATCCGTGTGCTTGGAGGCGCGGAAGGCTTGCAGCGATCCGCGAATGCGACGTGTCTGAAGAACGACCGCCGGCCAAATTTCTTAGTCGTGAGGAGTGCGCATTTTGTGTCAGCGTCGGTGAGCATGTCTGCGATGATCAGGGACAGCCTGGAATGACTGCGACTCAGTGTATGCAAGACGCTTCCAGAGGCTTTCCAGAACAAACAGCAGGCGAGATTTTCAAGCCGCCGCCGGGCCCACTCACCGCAAGCCGGACAACGCTCTCATTACGGCAACTGGCGATTTTGCTTTGGGAGCATGGTGCGCGTTATTCAGGTGGCGGGATGGGCATGAGAAGTTGTTTGCATGCCGCAGATGTGATGAGGGTGTAGTGCGGCGAGGGTGGCTCCTTCTTGCTTGCTGCGGACGCGAGGGTTGGTTGAGGGAGGAGCGACCCGTCAGTGGGCAGTCGTGCCCACGTGGCGCGAGCCAAAACCGATACCCAGATACCCGTCACAAGCAACGACGATTAAGCAAATGCGACAACAACACAGGGCGGTTCATGATACTGCAAAAGCAAGCTGCTATGAACAGGTGCTGTCAAACATGAGCCGCCACCTCTACAGAAAAACTCCACTGCGATCCCGACGACCAGTTACCCGGTTGGCTGGGAGCGAACGAGGACGACAGGGCTGCAAGAGAGGTGATTCAGCATAAGCAGTGGACCGGCCGGGGAAGCACATCCGGAACGTCTGTGTGGCGTCTCTGAACCTTCTCTTCTTGCTTCTGGCGTAGGCCAACAAACGCGACGCGGCACGCACGAGTCGACGCCGCCGGTCAAAGCAGCGAGACGGGAGCGCTGACACTGTCTCATCTAAGCCGCCTTGTCTGGAAGCGCGCGGTGACAGTGACAATAGCAGCGATAGGGTAGCAAGAGAGGACGGGGGAGATGGATGAAGCGTCTTGACCTTGCCATGATACGGCGGAAAAAAAGAGTTGCCAATATCGCCCATCTGACGGAAGCAATTGACAGCGTCTCACCCTTTGCATCTGCATCCCAGCGAAGCCGTTGATGTGGCTACCTCTAGCGCAAGAAGCTAAGGGCCTGCAGGTACGGCTTTCTAGCGCGGCACTATCCAAGGGGGATAACCGGCTTGGTGGTAACAGTGCGCAGATCACCCTGGCTCCTGACGATGGCAAGGGAGCCTACCTTGAAACAGGCCGAAAGACCCGTCGCTCCCGATGCGCAATGTAGTCAGGGCTTTTGGTAGAAAAGCACTGTCGCTCATTTCATTTGTCTCGCCGAAAGGCCAAGGCCACCTTTGGCAAGTCAGTTAACAGGCCCCCTTATTCTAGCTGCGAATATAGAAGCTTCAGGGCGCCCTTCGTTTAATTCCTGCCATCATCATCTCTCACTTTCAAACTATCCACACTCATTCTACTCTCATCCCCACTCCCCAGTCACTGCTAGCCAGTCCACGGGTACACGACACTATCTAATAAAGCTCGATACCGCCTCGCCGCTCTTTGTATCGCCTTGCAATAAACACTCGCCGACCTTCGACACTCATTCTCGTCTTCTATCCAACTCGCACAGGCCAGGTGTTCAGCCGGCGTCTTACATGCTTCAGAGCTCAATCGGTACGTTGCACATTCAGCGCAGTCTATATTTGACTTGTTTGTGTAACATTATTCTAACTTATAACCAGACCACACACTCATCAACAACATGATCTTCAGAGAGTCAGAGTCCAACAACATGGGTCGCGGTGCCTACGATACCACTGGCACCCCCAAGCCTCCTCCACCACCGCCCAAATAAGTTGCGCGCCAACTTTTCCAGCGCTTGCCTCGCCATTGCCTTTTTTCAACGCAATGCACCTGCTTTTTCGTGGCAAGCTGGTTGTTCGGTTAGGACTAGAGGGATTGCATCCCGCACCTTGTAAGTCACAGCCAACTCACCCTGCATGTACACGTCCACTAACAACGCATCAGACCAACTCCACATGAATGTTTCATCGCAACCGCTACAGGCGCAACTTGCTCGGTTTACGGCGCATCTTCTTCCACGGAGCCATCTTGGGATTACCGCCTTTTAATCATCCGCGACCATTTCGATTCTTCAGCGTCCTAATACCCCTGCGACTTCGGGCATCCATCGGCGTTATCAAGCGAATCTCGCACAGCCCTGCTCACCTACTTCGCCACACGTTCAGCGACATTCCCTTACGGCAAAAAGTTCTTCTTCATTCGGCGTTCACTATAGACTCGGTTGGGCCCAGGCATAGATACCAAAAAGGACCCTCACTTTCTTTCATTCGGACAGCGTAACAGGTTAGATTCTCGTGCCGGCCCTCACCGGCATTAACGGCACGAGTTGTATTGTACTATAGCGCGTTGGAGTGGTCATATTGACGACCACGACTCAACGATTTTGTTTTCTTTAGACGGCTCCTCATGAACGGTATGCATGGGCCGCTCTCCCCATAGCTTTGGACATTAGACTGAGCGCCTGGGCCTTTGTACTTGTGTCTCGCGACTCAACTGGCTACAGTTTAGACTAATCAAACATCTACTCTTATCAATCTTCTCTATCGTGACGACATGGTCTCTGCATTGTGAAGCGTCTCATCCACCCCAGTGGTACGTCCATGTCACACGTGGCGCCGCGGATCTCCGACACGGGCATATAGATATGCAGCCGCAATGGTATCGATCCGCCTCCAAGCCGTATCGAGCGGCGACCCTTGCCTGTGCTACATGGTGGATGTTTTGCCAGACGTGCTGCGGGCGCTTCGATGGGTAGCTGCGAAGCTTGGCGGTAGAGTGGAGACCTGATCTGGCACTGCACCCCACGAATACAGGCGCGCCGAATTGCACCTCGCCATAGCTCCACCACCACCACGTCTGGTACCTCTCTGCAGCCAATACATCCCGCGTAGCCAAATTCAACAACCACCACCATGGCCAACATCAACTGGCGGACAATCAACATTGACGCCTTGGATCCCGACAGCCCCGCCAACTTCGACCTAAGCTCCCTCGCGCCCGCCGTGCAGCCTGTGTCGACGGCCGATGTCCAAAACAATGCCCAGCAATTACGGCAACTGCTCCGTGGTGGTGACAATGAGGGAGCCCTTCTAGGAGCGCTGGAGAACCCACCATATGGCGCAGACGACAAGGGAAAGGTACGTTGCGCCCCAGCATAACTCTGGAATAGCTCAAGAGACATGAGCGCCCCAAGTCTCGCTGGACTGGGAGCCATGGCTTCCACCTCTCTGGACTTGGGCTACCGGCGACCAGGTCAGCAACATTACACAGCGCAGAACCAAGCTGACAAGCTCCGCTACTCCAGGAAGCCCACCTTGCGACCGTCATCGAGATCCTACAATCCATACGCGCGTCGGACATGTCACCAATGCTGAGCCGGATATACGGTGCACCAGGCGGAACCGAGGCATTGGACGTCCTGATGAAGTACATGTACGTCCAGCAGCCTCTCCTTTGGGCCTTCTGCCACCCCCGTTGGGCTCACCGCCAAACATGTCCACAGTCGCACATTCACAACCTCCGACTAACAAATGTATTTACAGCTACAAAGGCATGGCCCACGCTACACCTGCAACCACGAAACGCGACATCACCCCCCAACCGACCGGTTTCTCTCAAGTTCATACCCGTGGCGGCGGCGAAGGCGGCGGCCAAGCAATGAGCGTGCTCCTCAGCTGGCACGAGAAGGTACGACCCCACGCTCTTTCCTCACCCCTCGTTATCTGGAACGGCCCATGAACCGAGTGGCATCCCACCCTCTGCCGCACAAAGCACCTACTACCTATCGTTCTGCTTCCGTCACTAACACACCAACAGCTTGTGGAGATAGCGGGCCCAGGCTCCATCTCTAGGGTCATGAGCGATCGCCGTACGGTTTGAATGGTTAAACAGTCATCGCATTCCGCAACAATCATCACCAAGGGCGTTTTTTGGAATCATAACTTAGGACTGGGCTGGCTGAACGCTAGCTTCCATTGCCTTCGATAGCGTTCAGTCCATACCGAGGCGCAGTAGTAGAGCCCAAGGCCCAACGGCAAAAGCAGAACCCGAACAAATCATCACATTGCGCATTCTCTTCCCGTTCTCCCCTCCCTCCCTTGCCCACATTACGATCCCAAATCCCACAATTTACACAGGCATAATCCCATGGCGGAATGCGGAATAATATTGAACGCGCAACCGTCCTACAATCCTCTTGCACTCGCAATTTTCTTGCTATGACGCCGCAATCCATGTCCTTGCACAACTACGCGCACTGACGCCCATGTTTCTACCGGCCTTGCAGAACCCTTCTTCAGCCCTACTTATACAAACAGACCACAACGAATCCTCATTTCGCGGACACGGGAAACACGTAACGCTAGCACAGCTAACTTTCATTAAAGCGGCAACTGACTTATCGACGCGGCATAGCTTCCACGCGAAGCTCCTAGTGCCATGCTAGCTTTCTGAATCGGGAAAGTCCTTAGGTTATGGTCCGCTAGGTCATTTATGGATGGCCGTTGGGTGATGAAACGCGGGTTCCAAGGTTACAGTGCTGATCGCAATGGGATTGGGAGTGTGACTTGTTCGCGACGATGAAGGTCCGTTGTTTCAATTATCCCACCTGTAAAGTTCGAAGACTCAAAGTTTGTCCATCTTTATCTCTTTATCGATTGCACATACGCAAGCTTCATCCCTCAACCAAGGAACTGCACGTTTCGTGTCGCTGGACCCTGGTTGGGCGGAAATTTTGCTTCAAGACGGACTGGGACTGGTTTGTTTGATGTGCGAACGTGTTTCTGGAAGCATGTTCGGTGTTTATGCGTAGGGCTGCGACGCCGCGCTATACCACCCAACTCATCTTCCTCGCCTTCAGCTCACACAGGTACAGTACAAACTTGTTCGCGCTATGCAACGTCGTTCCTTGATACGAAGAGTTCATCGACGGGACGGGTCAGCTTACATACAGAGTATGACCGGCAGCAAGCTTTCTGCGGCGAGACATGACATGGATGGGTATGATGGTATGGATTACCTCGGCCGGTCCTCGATCGGCATATCACCGGCATGACGATCGGGAAGCGTTGACATATCCGTCTCGCGTCTCCGTCTCGTCTCAGGTAGTCGGCTATGCAACGCTTTGGCAACGCTTCAAGCATCATCGGAGTTGGGCGTGCATCGTCAGAGCTGTCGTCGTCGCACCTTTGCAGGGCTTGCACGTGGGAGACGCGAGACAAAGACGTAGATGCATGGGGGGGGGAGACGTGGGGCACATGTCATGCTGCGGACCTTTACTGTACCTGGGTATGACATGCAGATGCGTGCATGTCAGTTGCTTGTTTGGGACGGTGCTGGGAGAGAGGGTAATGGCATGTCGACGCGAGTTTCAAGTTGCGAGTCGGTTCCGTCCACGCGACATTGGAGCGGATCCGCTGCTGTGTGAGGGATTTGGCATCCCGTTGTGCTGTGCTTGGTCTTCTTCGAGGCTTAGGTGCTGACCTCGTGGTCCCCGAGGTTACCTTTCAAGTTCTCGGCATCGGGGACTTTTTTTTTCTTGTCGATAAGCTCCAAGGGTAAGGTTTCGTATCCTTACTGTTGGATTCAAAGTTTGTCGGATGAGAAGCTGATAGTATTGTACATGGAACGTTGCCCATTTCTCGGGTGTAATCAGAGTTGGCGACGTTGGTCTGGGCTTACGTGGAGAGGAGGGTTGTTATCTTGAGGAAAACTCTTACAACACCTCTCTTACTTCAAATCACCATATGGACCAGACGTTTCGATGCACCTTCTTGTAGTGCCTCGGTGCACACGGGTAGCAATCCTTCACGTCTCCCCTCTCATCTACCAATGTCTTGCCACACTAACATTCGCACCTCTTCAGCTTGCATGTGCTTTTGTAAACTTCATGGCTGTCTGTACATAGACCATACGTCACAGGACTTGGGAAGACGGCGACCACTACAGTCTAGAACAAACCTCTTCTTCTTCTTATGAGATCCATCCATCTCTTCCCGCTTCAGATCTCATTTATCCGAAGTTCTCGTTTCTTTTTTCTTCCACACCAAATCTATTTTTACGAACTTTTCGTCATGTGGCTTGGATAAATCCACATCAGGGTCTTTGTCTTCTCCGTTGCTTCGTTTTTTCTTTTCGTATCAATCCTTATCTATGCGAGATTTGGGCGTTCTTCGTGGCTTGATCGTCGCGTCACTGTGGCTTGAACTCACACAGGGTCTGTTTCCTTTTTCCTTGCTTTTCTGTCGCAAAAGGAGGTGTGGGTAAGGTGGATACAGCGGGCGGTGTGGATATGGGAAAGCGAGGCTGTTTCGTCCTCGTGGGTGTGCACTGTTCCGTCGTTCCGGCAGAAGAAAAAACGTGGAGGTGTGGTACAGTTATGGGATAGGGTGTGTGGCAACGACATGTGTGGAGATGAGTAGCCTAGTCCTGGAGATGTTAACACTCGGGGTACTCCGTTGGTTCTGTTTTCGGGTTCCAAATGATTTGACTGTGGTATCAGAACGCCTTCGTCGCGTATGCGTGAAGTCAGTTGTTATCAGATGAGGCAAGACGGCCCAACACACTCGACCAACTCAGTGTGATGATACCGACGCGGGTGTATCTTCCACACAACTCGTATTCGCTATCTGTGCCTATAAAATACGATGTCTTTCTAATGTTAATTGTTTAGTTTCCTATCGATGTGATTTGATCGACACTTTTCGGAGCTACATCAATATCAATATCGCTATTGTTGTGGTACGTTTTGTCTTCCTGGGATATATTTACATT